ATTGCTCCCCGTGCTCCAACGCCCAGCCGGTTCGGTTCAGAACTTCAGATACTGGCCTTTTGCTGCTGAAATTCCACTATGCATCAAACGCCGACATCCATCTTATTATCTTCAGTAAAGAAAAGGCTGACCACATGGCTTGAAGCATAACTGGCATTCAATCTTGGGGAACAACGTCCAACGATGTCATTGAAAGTGGGATCTGGCAGCCACCACGTCTTTTTGAGCGAGTTGAATATCCAGATAGTAGGCGCGAGCGTGACCACTATTCAGAGGAAATTTCCCTGACCAGTTTGTATGCATCCTGAAATCGACCAACGTGGATGAGGGTTGCATGATGGGGTTGCTGGTAACCGGATTGGCCTCGATCCTCTCCTCCCGCATCTCGTCGAGAAGAGATAGAGTGTGGTTTTCTGTAGCTCAGGCTACACGGTACCCCTTATCTTTGCCATCCATTTATGCATCAAGATCCGTGCAGACACATTTGTCTTTCTTGTTTCTCTCAAATGACACAACATATGAACTTTAACTTTTGCAGAACAACAATACATTCTAACTACAATCTAGGAAAAAAACTTTCAGATTTTTTCATGCATTTTAAATACTTGAAATAATATTTTTATTCAAAGAAAATCTCATTTTGTATATTTATATCAGACCAAAAAATCTGAAAGTTTTTTCACACATTGATGTTCTAATGTTTGTTCGATCTGCAAAGTTTGAAGTTCATATGTTGTTTCGTTTTCGAGAAACAAAAAAGAGAAATCTTCTTATTGTTAGTTAGTTGGAGAGTACGGATCTCAAAGCAAGGTTGGAGGGTTGAGGATAAGAGGTTCCATGTAGCCTGAGCTACAAAGAAACTTTGTGGAAGAGATACTGCCCGGTCTGTTGTATCAGACAAACGAAAAAGTCCCGCAGGAGACAACGGACGACGCTCGCTTGCCATGCTGATTGCTCCCCGTGCTCCAATGACCCATGCCCAGAGCTTTCCAACTCCAGCCATCGGGAGCATATTGTAGGTCCACGATCAGGCGTATTCCCCTCACGCCAGCACCAACACCACTCATCATAGGGCCACAAGCCTCGACACCAGGACATGCGGCCGCAGCCAATGCGGCCCTCGGACAACATCATCTTGCCTTGGCGTTGCACAGGCGCACGGCGAAGGTACCCGGCGAACACTCGATTCTCTGTCAACAGTTGAGCTTTTTTCCACGATCTTGGCCTCCCCCCAAGTTAACTTGATGTACGGTGGTAAAAACCAATAACGTGCACCACATCATCGACAACAACAACAACAACAACAATAATGGTGTAGAAGTATATATTCGATCTCTCTTACAAGTTACAATTCCTTCATGCTCATATCCTATTACATCACCAAACTTCTTATTGTCATTTCAACTACAACAAGGACCTTGCTCATATCCTATTACATCACCAAACTTCTTATTGTCATTTCAACTACAACAAGGACCTTGCATAATTTACTACCTGATTCTTCTAGGCTCAGGTCGAAGTAGTAAGTCTACTAATCCGAGCGCCTCCTCCGGAGACTCGATGTCAAGTTCGTCGGCCAACTCCCCAGCCTCCTTGGGAACCCAAAAATCTCTCCTGCCCGCCCATTCCCACCACACCAATACTTTACTAATCTCTGACCACTTAACCAAATAATCTGTCACCTCCTCAGTCAAGTATATTTCTCCCCTCCCCCATTGCAGAATATATGCGTCGCGTACGGGACGGAATCGTAAGGATTCCGGTCCCATGAGTATAATTTGGGCCATTGCTATTTTTAGGTCGCCGACAGGGATTGAAGTTGAAGAAGAGTCGTAGGACGAGAGGACGTGAATCGCATCTAGCAGCGACTCTTTCCCAAGTGGAACGTCAACTAGAAACTTATGGGAAGGTATGTTCTTTCCATCGGGTCCTTTGTGTACTCCCATGAGGTCCTTATAGCTTGGGCCAAAGGAAAGTGGATAAAACGGCTCGACAAATATGGCATCGTACCCTTTTGACGTATGGAGCTGGTTCGTCAAATTATTGGAGGCGAGGAAGTAGAGATTGTCGTTGGCGAACCATAACGTGACCTTGTCGTTCCCTCGCCCCTTCAGTGTGGGTTTGATCCAGGTGGCCGGCGGCACCGTCTCCTTGTCTTCAGGCTCCCGCTGCGGAGCCATGACATCGCAAAGGTCGCCGACTTTCATGCGGAACCCTTCTTCGACAGTTTCGATGACATGGTTGTGCCATGTATCGAGCAGCTCCGTGTGCTCTTGAGTCAGAACGTCATGCTCCCATGCGATCTCCTCCCCCTGAGCGGTTCTGGCAAATAAGACAACTATTGCCACGAAAACGGCCTCTGCGGAAAGACAAGGAACTCATTAGATTGACAGTCGAGTGAAACATGCATGAAGGGAAATTGTTGTGGATCCTTACTTGTTTTAGCACCGCCAAATGCTCCTCCGTTTGTGCCAGCTACTGGAGACATGCTCACGGCTGAAACTTGAGAATTTTGTTTGGTTGGACTCAAGCTCAACCGATGGTCTTTGTCACTGTTGTAGGGTTGAGCCTGCCGATATATATAGGTTTCAATTGCAAGGAAGCACAATCTTTATGCTCGCGCGGGGGAAGTTAGTTCAAAGAGCGAGAGAAGAATCACCACCTTGGTGCTGCGGTCTGCACTTGGGCTTTAAAAAAGTTTGTTTACTTTGTTTGTTTTCTGCAAGAACCCAACACACACAAGTAGTGCATCTTCCGAATTTAACCACCTAAACCATTAATCTTTGTTGATGAGAGCCAACAATAAAGATTTCAGAACATTGCGCCAATTTTATTTTCTTCATTGTCGTGCAAATAAACTAGATTTTTTTTTCATTACAAAGGGTAAATTTAATAGCTTTGTTCTGATAGTGTTCCTTTTATTATATTTTTGCGTTACTTACTCCTCTTGTTTTTATGTGTGTTTTCATTTTGCTTTTCCACTTTTTTCTTTCTATTTTTCATTTTCCCTCACTTTTCCAATTTAGGGATGTTTTTTTTTCATTTTACCATTTTTCCGAGTAACACCTCGAGTAGGGCACACGGTTCGTACATTTCATAAAAAAGAAGCGAGTTGTGCTGTTAATCTTCCCTAATAATAAGGACGTGGCTAGGGAGAGCTGTTGCGCTTGTTGGTTGTTTTGAGCGCACCACAATATAAAGCAAGTGCATGTCATTGTAGCCAGGTGTCTACGCTAGAATAGGAAAGAAAACTGTTCGGTCACATTCCCTAGCGCGCATGGCTATTGATGGAATCAGCCTAGATCTTGTCCACACGTGCATTTATTTGGGATTCAAAAAGTCTTAAAAGCCGTAACTTTTGATTCAACCATCGAAATCTAATTCCGTTTTCACCGTTAGGTTTCTCACAACGAGTTCTTCAAAAATAGATCTTATATGGGTAGGTTTTCATAAAGAAAAGTCGAGAGCAACTTTAGGTGTGATGGAGGCAACTATAGTGCGATAAAGAAGCAACTTCTTCTTTTTGGCCTAATAGGACCACCTATTAGGTTGGTTTGTATAAGAATGATAAAAATCACACAAAACATAAGGTGTCTTTAGTGGTACATACAAAACAACTTCACTGCACTATGTGCACCTGTGAATTTTGCTAGTATTATCTCAACTTTCCTATCATGACTGCTCAATTGCCTATTGTTGCTGGTCAGTTGCCTATGGTTGATGTTCAATTGCTTATAAACACTATAAATTGTCTATCATTGATGCCCAGTTACCTGTTATTGGTAATTAGTTGCCTACAATTGCTGCTCAATTGCCTAACTTTACAAAAGAAGTTGCCTACAAATATTGTGAAGTATTTTACCATTGTTTTTCTAAGTTGCCTACAAACACTTTGAAGTGGCCTAGATTAACCATCATGTTGCCTACCATAACTAGCATTAGCAGACACGAAAAGCATCAACGATAGACGACTTTATTGTATTATAGGAAATTTTGAAACAACGACATACGAGCATGACCAATAGGCAATTTAGAAGTACCGACGAGGAAGTTAGGAGAATGTTACATAAAATTAATTAGGACACAAAATGCAGTGAAGTTGCCTGTTTTTAGCACTAAAGTTGCCTCTAGTAGAAGGAAAGTTACATATGAATGTGGTGTGATGTCATATACCCCTATTTCGAAGTTGTTCTCTATTATTAGTTAGTTGCTTATTGTTGCTAATTAGTCACTTTTACTTGACTAAAGTTGCTTCTCTTTAGCTCTAAAGTTGCCTCATCTAGTATTAAAGTTGCTTCTGAAAAACATCAAACACATCCATGAGGGGTTTAGTTTGAACAGTAGCAACATGCAGTGGTAAAAATATTGTCCCATTTGGGGTAGGTTGGGGTATAAGCTTCTCACAAACCAGAGCTTCTCGCAACAAGCCTCATGGTTACGGTAGGGAACGTTTCACCTTTCTGGACGAAATGATATCCGTTGCCTCTTCTTGATTTAAATTTTTGCTGTAGTGTCAACATAGAAGTGTTGTGTTAAATTTTGGAATTTATCAGGGTTCGTTTGGACATTTTTATGCATTAATAGACCTTTCAATGCATTTATGTGCATAATTCAAATTTGAACTACATGCACAGGCTCTCATGCATATAAATTGGTTAAAATTGAAATATGTCTCCTTGGTTGCATGCTTAGGTCCCATGCAAGAAATGGGAATGAATGTCAAACACTCTGCCACCATCACTCGACCACAAACATTGAGATACCTGATTTTTAAATTCTAGTAAATCCAAAACTTGTCTATAATTCATGAAACATGGCATGCTATCATGGAGCAGCATCAACATGCCGTCATAATTTTTTTCCCATTTGGGACAGGTTTGGGTATAAACTTCTCACAAGCCGGAGCTTCTCACAACAAGCCTGATGGTTTCGGTAGGGAACGTCTATTTCACCTTTCTGGACGAAACGATAGTCGTTGCCTCTCGTTGATTCCAATTTTTTCTCTAGTGTCAACATAGAACAACATGAGTGTTGTGTTAAATTTTGGAATTTTTTGGGGTTTGTTAGCAAATTTTTATGCATTAATTGAGTTTTCAATGCATTTATGTGCAGAATTCAAATTTGAACTACATGCACATGTTGTAATGCATATAAATTGGTTGAAAATTCAAATCTGTGTCCGTGGTTGCATGCTTACGTCCCATGCAAGAAATACGAATGAATGTCAAACACCCTGCCATCGGCACTCGGCCGCAAACATTGAGATACCTAGTTTTTAAATTCTATGAAATCCAACCCTCATCTGAAATTCATGAAACCTGGCAAGCTATCATGGAATGGCACCCGACATGCCCGTGGTAAATTTTTTGTCCCATTTAGGGCAGGTTTGGGTACAAGCTTTTCACAAACCAGAGCTTCTCACAACAAGCCTGATGGTTTCGGTACGGAATGTTTCACCTTTCTGATTTCAATTTTTTCTTTAGTGTCAACATAGAACAACATAAGTGTTGTGTTAAATTTTGGAATTTTTCGGGGTTCGTTAGCACATTTCTTATGCATTAATTGAGTTTTCAATGCATTTATGTGCATAATTCAAAATTGAACTACATGCATATGCTCTAATGCATATAAATTGGTTGAAAATTCAAATATGTGTCCTTGGTTGCATGCTTAGGTCCCATGCAAGAAACGGGAATGAATGTCAAACACCCTGCCACCGTCACTCGACCGCAAACATTGAGATACCTGGTTTTTAAATTCTAGTAAATCCAAAACTCATCTGAAATTCATGAAACATGGCATGCTATCATGGAATGGCACCCGACATGCCGTGGTAATTTTTTTCTCCCATTTGGGGCATGTTTGGGTATAAGTTTTTCAGAAACCAGAGCTTCTCGCAACAAGCTTGATGGTTTCGGTAGGGAATGTGCCACCTTTGGGGACAAAACAATACCCGTTGCCTGTTATTGCTTTCGAAATTTTTCTAGTGCCAACATAGAACAACAGGAGTGTTGTGTTAAATTTTGGAATTTTTCGGGGTTCGTTTGGACATTTTTATATATTAACTGGGTTTTCTAGGCATTTTATGTGCATAATTCAAATTTGAACTACATGCACATGCTCCAATGCATATAAATTGGTCGAGAAATCAAATCTATGTCCTTGGGTGCATGCTTAGGTCCCATGCAAGAAATGGGAATGAATTTCAAACACCAGGGCCCTATTGACTGCCAGCAAAACATTGAGATACTTTGTTTTAAATTCTAGTAAATCCAAAACTTGTCTGAAATTCATGAAACTTGGCATGCTATCATGGAATGGCACCCGACATGCTGTGGTAATTTTTGTGTCCATTTTGAGAGAAGGCACACTCGAATAACAATCAATAAAGGCATTTTGAAACAACTAGCTGCCACTCTAACATCGCAAATGTTTTAGATAGAACACCCGTATGTACACTGACAGCTTCCCCAGTAAGCCAAGGGAAAGTGTGTCGAGCAGGATTTGTGCAGCTCTTCATCGCAAACGTTTTAGATAAAACACATGTATGCAAAGTGAGAGCTATGGTCTTCTGCAGTAAGCCAAGGGAAAATTCGCTGCGCATGATCTGTGCATCTCTTCAACGCAAACGGTTCAGATTGAATAAGGTATGCAAAGTGAGACTTCGGCGCTAAGCCAAGAGAAAATTTCACAAGCAGGATTTCTACCTCCCTTCAACACAAATGGTTTTTTCGAATGACCCGTGTGCAACCATGTACAGACAATTTGATAAGATTTGCATCTGTCATATTGGGTATATTGCCATTTGTCAAACTAGAAAGATTGACATTTGTTGACCTAATGACATTGCCCTTTGTCAATCCTTGTAGCACTGCGATTTGTCAAAATATGCAGCTAAAAATCACTAGCAGTACCTAACTTTTGCAACTAAAATTTAGTAATTAAGCATAGATTTCATTCATAGATTAAGCAATCATGCTTAATTCAAATAGTTCAATTTTATAACTGAACCGACCAAACTTTTCCTCAATTGTTGCCAACCACATACTGAAGTAGCTAATTCAACTAGATATGCTAGCTAATTTTAAGTACGTTGTACATTTCCACCACATCTATAGTCAGATGAACTGAACAAAATAGCTCCTAAATACCACTACTATGGAGGGGCTTTGTACTACTTCCGGCAGCCTCTCCTCTGCCGAGTGCGCTCAATAAGAGGAAGAGGTGGAGGAGCCTACCGATGAGCTGGACAACTACTACGGTGCCTACCGCTGCTGCACCTTCAGCGACGCTCACCTCGAACGCCCTCTGCCACTCCAGACGACCCCTCTCGAAGCGGCCGGACTACTCATAGATCTCCTGATTCCTCGCCTCTACGTCGGCGTGTGCCGCGACCACGACGGCGGTAAGGCTCTTTGCGTGCTCGACGAGGCACTCCTCCTCCTCCGGCGGGGACTCGATGTAGCATGCAAGGTCGCTGCCGCACGT